GTGTAACAGAAACTAAAAATGTATGTTATTTTTGATAGAAGGAGCATTGTAAAGCCTTTATCCAGCTTACCTTTTCCTCCCATTTTGTAAGTTTATATTTTCTTGTCTGCTTCAACAGGAGCAGTTGGACATCATGGGGACAACTTAGTAGAGAAGATCATTTCAGTGCTTCCCCAGCTTCCAGACCACACAAATGATGTGATGGTTAACATGGTAGAGCTCACTGCACTCCAGGCTGAGGAGGACAATCAGAATGTGGTTGCACCAGGCTGTCTTGCACAATCCAAGTAAGATACATTGTTTTGTTTCTGTCATCCTTCTCCCTCTTCCCCTGTCTTTTTCTCCTAGACTGAGTATTTCTGTAGAAAGGAAACAATGAAGAGTTGGTCTGGCTGAAAAATTCATAGTGGATAACATTTAGAAAAGAGCATTTTTTTCTTAATTTTAAAATAACCATATCCGTTAAACATAACCATATCCATTAAACATAACATTAAACATAACAAAAAGAATGGAATTTTATAGAAGTGTTATTTAGTTGTAATATAAGCTTGTTCCCAGGGTCGGTAAGTGAGTCAGTTTATGCATCTCCATTTCACACATGGTTTCACATGGAATTGAGTCTAGTCTTCCCCAATTTCTTTTTCTCAGTTGACTGTCTCACATGACTAAACAGCAACCCACAGAGCTATGAAAGAGTGCCATCTTTTTATATGTTAATGATATGCTCTTGGGCATCAGTGGGAGAAGTTTTTATTTCTAAGGATATTTTTCACATGCGTAGAGAAATCGAAGAAAGAAGATGGTGTACTTTTAAGTTATTAGTTTCAAAAATAAAAGAACATATCTCCAGAAACAATAATAAAAAGATATAGTGGTCAGTAGTCACCTTCTCAACTTTGTCCTTTGTCAACAATTCTCATTCTCATGAAAATTATTCTTATTTGAAAAAAAATGTATTATTAGGGCTGTCCCGTGGCTCGCTCGGTAGAGTGCGGTGCTGATAACACCAAGGCCGCGGGTTCGGATCCTA